ATGCGCATACGTTCTGAAGCCAATCGTCAATGCGTATTCTTTAAGACAATATGCGGTTGTTCGTATTTAGAAACGTATACGTATGTTTTGTGCGAATACAATATGTGGCAACATTGGATTATTTATTGACCATATAAAAAACATCGAATATTTATAAAAGTGTTTAAGGGATTATACCTATGTGAATTTTTTTTTTTTTTTCGATTTTTTTTTATTGGCTAAAAGTATGCTAAAACATCCCTAGAATTAAAATCAAAAAGGTCCAAATACTAATATACTTCAGAAAATTTTTGAGAATTAATTTAAAATACATCAACTATATTGGCGATGGGGATTCGAAAACGTATAAAGGTATTGTTGATGCGAAGCCCTATGGAGATTTTATTGTTGCAAAAAAAGAGTGTATCGGACACGTGCAAAAAAGAATGGGTAGTCGTTTGCGCAATTTAAAGATGTTAGATTGAGCAATGTATAATCTCTCTCTACACTATGTAATCTACGTTCTAAATTCTAGTTTCGTTTCTTTTATACTTTCTTACTTCATGACTCTACTCGAACAGTTACTGGATATTAAAAGTTGCAGCTCAATGAATCTGTGGTAATACTTATTTCGTCCACCCCTTATCCTCGCTACTCTAACATCATCAGGTTATGGGCCCAGGGTTGCGCGTGTGAAGAAGGAATTTAGTCGCGGAGTGAACTTCGTAAGTCACGAGTCGGAAAAGTTTTGAGAAACAACGTGTGTGCGAAAGTGCGACAAAAATGGCGGACGATGAAAAGTACAAAGTGCCGCTCTTTGATGGAAGCAACTACAGTAACTGGAAGTTTCGTATGCAGATTCTACTTGAGGAACATGATCTCTTTGATCTAATCGGTGAAGAGCTTAATACATTAATAGCAAGGCTACCGGCGGCAACCGCAGCCGCTCAAACTCCTATCTTGAAAAGAAATGACAAAAAATGTAAGTCGCTTATTACTCAACGTATCTCAGATAGTCATCTCGAGTACGTGAAGGAGAAAGATACAGCGTATGATATGTGGAAGGCTCTTTCGGATAGTTTCGAGCGTACAGGCGTCTCGAGCCAACTTCGTCTTAGAAAAATACTCTTGACCATGCGGTACGCGTCAACGGAATCCATGGCATCTCATTTTTTGAAGTTCGACAAGCTCGTTCGGGAGTTGAAATCGACCGGTGCTAAGATAGAAGAAATTGATATCGTATGCCATCTATTGTTAACGATGCCCGAAGAGTATGATATGGTCGTAACAGCCCTCGAAACAATGTCAAGTGGACAGTTAACTCTTAGCTTCGTCAAAACAAGGTTATTGGATGAAGCAGCGAAGCGAGGTGGCAGCACAGATTTAGTAAGTGGAAGCTCGTCTACCGTGTTCTCAGCTACGACGAATAAGCGCCACGGAAATCGGAACGCAAACTCAACCGGAAATCGGAACGCGAACTCAACTGGAAATCGAAATGCGAACAATAAACGGAATGTTAATTCGAACGGGAATAGCGCGGGAACGAGACGTAACCGGTTTGACTATAGATGTCACCACTGCGGCATAGTTGGACACAAACGGTCCGAGTGTCGGAAATTGAAAAACGAAGATAAGAATTCGGAAACGGCGAATGCCGCGGTTGATGATAACTGTAACAAAAATCAAAAAGCCTTTGTGTTTTTCTCAAATGGAAGTGACAGTAGTGTGTCAAACGTAAATTTTGTTTTAGATTCCGGATCTACTGAGCATTTGTCAACGGAAAAGACAAAATTAATTAACGTGCGGAAATTAACTACGTCGATAAATATACGCGTTGCAAAGTCGGGTCACGTGCTGACTGCAAATAAAATCGGAGACTTAAGAGTGCGCGCGCGAGTAAACGGGAAAACTAGTGACATTGTAATAACTGGAATCTTATCGGTAGCGGGACTCGAATGTAATCTTCTCTCAGTTCGTAAACTTGAAATGAATGGTTTTTCAGTAATTTTTGAAGACGGTAAAGGAATCATTAAGAAAGGGGACAAAGTCGCCGCAATCGCGCGTCGTCAAGACAAGCTGTATGAACTATGTGTTGAAAGCGTAACGGAAACCGCGAATGTCTGCAATGTCAGTGAAACAACACAACTGTGGCATCGTCGCTTAGGACATCTGAGCAGCTCCGGATTGAAGAAACTTGTGAGCATGGCAGACGGAATAGATGTGAAAGAATTGGAGACTTCATTGGAGCTCTGCGAAACCTGTGTGGAGGGCAAGCAGACTCGCCTCCCTCACCAATCTCACCGCATCAGAGCAAAGCGACCTCTCGAGCTGGTTCATAGCGACCTTTGTGGTCCAATGGACGTTACATCCTTTGATGGAAAAAGATATTTGCTTACTTTTATTGATGACTTCACTCATTTTACTGTGGCATATACATTGAAAGCCAAATCAGAAGTGCTCAAACATTTTAAAATGTTCCAATCATTGACAGAAGCTCATTTTAATTTCAAAGTAAGCAGATTCAGGTGTGACAATGGAAGGGAATACCTCTCGACTGAAATTCGTCAACATTTCGAGGACTGCGGAATACAATTCGAACTCACGATTCCCTATACGCCACAACAGAACGGAGTAGCGGAAAGAATGAACCGAACAATAATCGAAAAGGCGCGTTGTATGATTTTGAATTCAAAAATGAGTAAGATTTTTTTGGTCCGAGGCTGTAATAGCGGCTGTTTACTTAATCAATCGATGCCCAACGAACGCTGTGAAAGGCAAGCTGCCAGCAGAACTCTGGTATGGAGAAAAACCCAATCTTCGGAAACTGAGGGTTTTTGGATGCGTTGCACATCTTCACATTCCAAAGGAACTGATCAACGGAAAATTCGAATCACGTTCAAAACGCTGCAGACTAATGGGTTATTGTGCGAACGGATATCGACTGTGGTGTCCGGAAAGTAGCAAAATATTATTAGGTCGAGACGTTATTTTTAACGAGTCAAAGTTTACCTCCGAGTCTGAAGATTTTTATGATGATTTTAGTCTACAGAAGTCTACAGAAGAAACAGTAAGGAATCAAGAGTCTCCCAATTCAGGCGGAGAACAAGATATCCCGAGTGATGAAGAATCCGAATACTTCGATAATGCTGATGAAGCAAGGATTTTGAGGAAGAGCTCACGACAGAGAAACAAGCCAAAGTATTTAAATGACTACACTGTCTTGGCTTTAAGCGCAGAATCCTTTGTCGAAGATGTTCCACAACATTTTGACGACATACAAGGACGAGATGATGAAAGACAGTGGATGGATGCGATAAATGAAGAAATTACATCTCTTGTCGAAAACAAAACCTGGGACTTAATACCATTGCCTCCTGAAAGAAAGATCATCGATAACAGATGGGTTTTCAAGATAAAAAGGGATAAAGACGGAAATATCGACAAATACAAGGCACGTCTGGTAGTGAAAGGATGCTCTCAACGAAGAGGCCTGGATTACGAAGAAACATATGCGCCAGTTGCGCGTCTCACTACGGTGCGAACCCTTCTATCGATAGTCAACCAACTCAGGCTAAAAACTAGACAGCTAGACGTTAAAAATGCTTTTCTACACGGAACTATTGATGAAGAAATATACATGAAATTACCTCAAGGATTCACCCAAGGTAATGGCCTCGTATGTAAGTTGAATCGTTCCTTATACGGACTGAAACAAGCTCCACGAGCATGGAATGCTCGATTCAACGAGTTCATCTTGACCCTAGGATTCAAAAGATCAGAACGAGATCACTGTCTCTATGTAGCAATATCCCAAAGGTGTCGGCTGTATCTACTGCTTTATGTCGATGATATTATCATTGCAGGCCAAGATGAAATCCAGATTCAAGAGATTGTTAATGCTCTTAAAAATGAATTCGCTATGACGGACATTGGCGAAATTGAAAGTTTCCTCGGAATAAAAATCGAGCAAACATCAAGAGGCCTATTTTTGAGCCAGAGAGCATATATGGAAAAAATGCTCACTCGCTTTGGAATGACGGAGTGCAATTCTTCCAAATCACCCATGGAAGCAAATCCTGAAAAACAAGAAAACGACGACGGAGAAGTCATAAATGAGATAAAACCATACAGAGAGCTCGTTGGATGTCTGATGTTTCTTATGCTCAACACACGTCCTGACATAAGTGTTACTGTAAACTATTACAGTCGTTTCCAGAACAATGCGAAATTAACTCATTGGAAAGGCCTTAAACGAGTTCTTCGATATATTAGAGGCACTCTCGACTATGGACTGCTTCAAACGAGGCTTAGATCCAGAAACACCACTCCAAGTCTACGTAGATGCAAATTGGGCTACAGACAATGATCGCAAGTCAACTACTGGCTTTCTACTTCAGGTCTTCGGCTCTACGGTAGCTTGGTCAACGAAAAAGCAAACTGGAATCACCCTCTCGTCTACTGAAGCAGAATATGTTGCTTTGGCAACAGCTTTGACGGAAGCAATATGGCTAAAAGGACTTTTAGAGGACTTTAATGTGAATAATGCCTATCCCATTGCAGTGTTTGAGGACAATCAATCTGTGATTCATCTGTTAAGCCGATGGGAACATCGTAGATTAAAACATGTTGATGTTAAATACAATTTTGTTAGAAACATGTACCAAAGCAAAGAAATCAACGTGCATTACGTAAATACCAAAGAGCAAACTGCCGATATACTTACAAAAAGTCTCACAGGAGACCAATTTGTTAAGCTTCGTTCTTATATTGGTGTTTGCAAAAATTAAGCTATATTTACATTTATGTTACGGCTCATACATTGAGGCGGAGTGTTAGATTGAGCAATGTATAATCTCTCTCTACACTATGTAATCTACGTTCTAAATTCTAGTTTCGTTTCTTTTATACTTTCTTACTTCATGACTCTACTCGAACAGTTACTGGATATTAAAAGTTGCAGCTCAATGAATCTGTGGTAATACTTATTTCGTCCACCCCTTATCCTCGCTACTCTAACATCATCAAAAGAAAAATACGAAAGGTCTCGGCGGTCGCGGTAAATTGACAGTTAAGCTCATCGACGAGCTTACTATTTATTACGGGCTTGCAATCAGGAGAAACACAGGGTCAGTAGAAAAAATGAGAAATAAAATTTGGGCGACCTTATTTCATAAAATTTCTACTGACGAAAAGCCGCAACATGAGAAGTGTCCGGCCGGAGCAGACTCTTGGTGCTCTTGGCAGCGCAGTAAAGCGCTGGGTTCCCTAGCAACTTCCGAACACAAGCCTGCCATGCATGAGGATGTCTTCAAGGCCATACAACCAATTTATAAAGAGCTTAGCTCTGATGACCTTCTTTCGCGCTGCTTGGATGGATACACACAAAATACGAATGAATCATTCAATGCAGTCGTGTGGTCCATCGCGCCGAAAAGTGTGTCGAGCGGCAAGACTGTGCTCGATATCGCAACGGATATCGCAATTATTTTATTCAATGATGGAATGTCGGGCCTTTTCGTCATTTATGATACATTAGGATTGACAACGGGACCAAATTTTTACGATTTCTGCTTGGAAACCGACGCTGAGCGAATCAAGGCTGCCGAGCGCTCGATCTCCAATGTCGCAAAAGAGGCGAGACGCGGAATCCTAGCGTCAAGGAAAGACGAGGAGGAGCAATCTACGGCCTTGGAAGGTCAACTATATGGTGCTGGGATAGCAGAGTGAAGGTAAAAAAATTTGTACATAGTAAATTTTTGAAATTTCACAAATCTATAACGTTTTGAAACTTTAAACGCGTTTATCTCGAAACTGTGTTTTTGAAATCGACCGGAAACGAAACTCTTTCAGTTTTCATCCGATTAACTTGAAATTTTAACTGTAGCTTCTTGATATGATTATCTAGTGAAGTATACACGATTTTAGCGATTGGTTTTTTTAAAAAAAAGTTGCAAACAATTAAAGTCATTTTTTTTGGTCAAAAATGCAACTTTTTGTTTAAACGGTCGCCATTTTGCGAAAAATTGATATTAAACTATTATCGTGTGTACTTCACTAGCAAAACGAATGTAGATTATGAAAAATTTTTTTTTATTGTTCCAGATGCTGATGGGGCTGCGTAATGTGTCCGGCCGCGGAACATCTTTTTAAAATACTACATAACTTATCATGTTCTAGAGCCGCCATTTTGTTTTAAATTTCAAATAAAAAAATTTTTTTGTACTCTTGAAGAGTTGCCCTATCGATTGGTATATTATTTGTAAAATCTTTTTCCCAAAATCCATTAAAAAAAAATCCTGAAAAAACCCTTGTTTTTTAGCCTTCACATAGGTATAACCCCTTAATTTTCAAATACATATTTTGTGTAATTTTGAAAAGATAAAGAAATGGATGCAAGAAAACGCAGTGCAAATGTGACGGAAGAACAAAAAACTTTGTTATTACAGTTTATGGAAGAAAATCAACGCTTAAGCGTTGATTACAGTTATTACGTTGTTATTACAGTTTATGGAAGAAAATCAACACTTAAGCGTTGATTTTCTTCCATAAACTGTAATAACAAAGTTTTTTGTTCTTCCGTCACATTTGCACTGCGTTTTCTTGCATCCATTTCTTTATCTTTTCAAAATTACACAAAATATGTATTTAAAAATTAAACACTTTTATAAATATTCGATGTTTTTTATATGGTCAATAAATAATCCAATGTTGCCACATATTGTATTCGCACAAAACATACGTATACGTTTCTAAATACGAACAACCGCATATTGTCTTAAAGAATACGCATTGACGATTGGCTTCAGAACGTATGCGCATTTCAATCATTCGTAAGTTGCGTATACGTAAAGTTACGAGTGAGTTAGAGAATCGAGGACCTGTGCTTAATGGGACTGCACCCTTAAGCTGATGGCAGAGAACTAGACGTGAGCGCTTACGTCTGTCGTAGTCGTGGACGTAAAGTAAGACAGAGAAAAACGTATGTCGTACAAGACCATTGTCACAATGGTATGTACGACATACGTTTTTCTCTGCCTAGTTCTCTGCCATCAGCCTTACTGGCGGGGTGCAGGAGAGTACAAAACTTACAGATGTCTGTACTTTCCCACACAGCACAAATGACTGTTTGTCGACTAATAGTAGACTTTTTTCAGTCGACTTAAGTCAGCTGTTAAAGTCGACATTTAGCCGACTTCGAAAGTCAAAAGTTGGCGCGTAGTGCGCGCGTGACATGCGATCGCCGCGATTTCAAGGTGCCCTTACACGGCAGCATCAAAGCGTCAAGCGTCTGCGCAGAAAACCATACCGATACCATTGCGCATTCTGAATCTACCGGTATGGTTATCTGCGCAGACGCTCGATGCTTTGATGCTGCTATGTAAAGGCGTCTGCATCCTTTCGATCGTCTCTGTGTGTGTGTGTGCCCATTGTGCCTCCCGCGTGCCGGCTTTTTGTTCCAACTGTGCAATATTTATCAAGATAATGTCCTTCTTTCATAATTAATATTATAGCATAAAATATTAAAGGATATCAGAGATATATTGTATATACATATGTAAATTTTATATGTAATAATTCGTGATATGTACAATTATGTACAAGTGAGGTTAGAATCGTCCTCTTTCTTCTCTATTGAGTTTCCGTGTATCTGTAATTAGTAACAGTATTTTTATTTTCAGCTTATCTTGTGCAATAGAGGCGGTGCTAATTCTGCAGTCTTATTGTTAGCCGAAACAAAATATCTGCATGAAGCAGTACGAAAGACGAAGCGCCGGCGAATTTGATTATTGACTATTGAGCGAAGCAGCACGTACGATACATAATCAAGGTAATTTACATTTCTAATTTTTTATTTAAATAATTTGAAAACACAATATAAATAACAAAGTGCCGTAACGGTCATTGCTAGGTCTTAGTGTTGATATTTATTGTGTGATTGTATATACCTTTTTAAGAGTTCACTAAACTGCACGCCAAATATGTTTTTAATCATAACAGCTCCAAGTTGAATTAATAGTAATATCACTTTATTTATTTGAAAATCAATTTAATAATTAATGATGCTAACTTGCATCGAAATGTGAAAACCTATCCTCCCCCCTAAAAAAAACTGTAAAGAAATATCGGTGAAGGGTTTAATAATGTACCTTGTGCACTCACATAAATACACACATACACATTCATATATATGTATTGTTTTTTTAATGTCATATTTCAGAATGACGTTCTACGTTTTGCTTTATAACAATTACTGTGTAACAGTACCAATAATTTGGATTAACTTTGAACAGTCTTCTTTTAAAATGCCTGCGACAAAAAATCTTACTCAATCTTGTCGGAAGCAATTGTCACCACATGATGATTGGAACGAATTTAAATTTCATAAACATTTTGGTCCGTATGGTACGTTTTTTATCTCATATTTATATCTATCATTTATATTTTATTAAAATGTAAAATTCATATTAATGCAAAAATGTTACAGATACCTACTCAAGTGCACGGTCAGTTGAACAAGCAGTAGCCCAAATGTCTACATCAGATGACAATATTGTCTTACAGGAAGAAACAAAGAATATTGCGAAAAAAAGATTGATTAAAGCCCGAAAACTTTATGGCGACACATCGAATGAAGGTATGTATGCTACATTTTTACTCTTAGGCTGCGCACAATGGAAGAAATATTTGGGACAGAAATTAAACATTATTTCATGTGTATTTCTTATCAAGTATCAGCCGAATTTGAGTTGCGTCGACTAATATCAATAGCCTAATGGATGATCTTTAGGCAATCGACATTACTTAGCGCAGTTCAAACTCGATACTTGATAAAAAGTATGAGCAAAATATTTGATTCCTGTTTGTAATATTCCCTCCATTGTGCGCATCTTAGGCGTTCTATTATACACTGTGAGCGTCCGACATCAATAGTGCACGCTTAGCATTTTTTTATGTTTAGATTGATTGTGACACTTATAGTACATTTATTCTAAGAGTTCATAGAAAATATTTATAGAGACTTTATTAAGATTGGATTCCACTTTCAGTGTATCTTTTAATAGTTTACAAAAAATATGCTCTATAGACTTTAAGCACTTGCAGTGAATATAAATCTTAAGAGGAACTTAATCTTAAGAAAGACTAGACATTATAGATTGGGTTCCAGTGTTCACCACAAATGCTCAAACTTTATAGAGCACACTTTCTGTAACCTCCTAAAAAATATACACTGAAAATAGGACCCAATTTTAATGAAGTAGTATGATATTTCATTGTTGTCAATTCTTTTAATAATGCTAAATGATTCTCTTGCTTTGTTTCGGAATGCAAGTTAATATAATAATTTTGTTAATTTTTTAGATGAACCAAAAAAGAAGAAAATTATAAAATTCCCGTCGAATTACATTCCAGAAAGTGGAAAGAGTGTCTCTCAATTATCAAGCCAGCCGATTAATGAATCATCGACAATTACTAACCTAGGTTTGTCATTTATGTATGCATGTAATACAACATGCAGAGTATTCCCAAATTAAATGTTAAGGCTTCGGGAGCGTGTGGCGGATCGAAAAACTAATGCAAAAAGTTCTGTAGAGATTTGCTCGTGTTTGCTTTGTTTTGGAGAAAATTACTAAAACAAAAAGAAATTATTTAAACACCTTTTCTTTTTTACTATTTTCCAAAACAAAGCAAAAGCGAGGAAATCTCTACAGGACTTTTTGTTTTTATCTTTCCCCTAAATGTCCTTGACATCTTGATGTTTAATTTAGGAACACTGTATAAATGATCAAATCTCTTATAGCGCTTTCGAGTGCAATGGATTCTAACTTGGTTCATGACGGATTAATGACGTTACATGCTCTATTTTATGTTTTCATTGGATAATTCTAACATGTGGCGTCATTATTCTGACTCGGGTTGGATTAAAACCCACTGTACTCGAAAGCGCTATTATTGTCAGTTAGAAAGTTGTAAATGTATACATTTGTACATGTATGTATATTTATGTGTAGCATGCGGATCTATTAAAGCAAACGACGAGGCTTTAACCAACGTGCCAACCAAAAGTGTCAACGATATTAATGAACCTGAGATCAGTGATGAAATATTGGAAACTAATTTTGTAGACGTAAACTCATTAGATTCATACGAAGATGAGTCGTCATGTAGTGACACAAGTACATTGATATTTATACATTTTTTTTGTTTATTGAGTAAAAATACGAACAATTTAAATAAAAATCTTATATTTCTCTTGCTTTTCAGAAATGCAAAAAATGACACACGAGAAGCAAGAAAGTCGAAAAGTTGTAAAAGGTAGGTTTCAAATTATTATGTCATCAATCTTATTAAATATCCTATTCTTCCCTCCGTATCTCTTGCTGCTCTTGTATCTTAATGAAAAATCCTCTTTTCCTTTCTTCAGATTTAATATATACCTCTTTCTTGTTTTTCTTAATAATTCTATGAAACTACTTCCAGCAGTTTATAGGAATATTTTCATCTATTATTTCTTTTTCCTATATTTATTAATGTACTTCCATGTACTTCCACATATGTCCAACATCCTCCTTTCTCGTTAGCTATTATTTTAAATTGACCATCCTTGATCTTTAGTTTTGCTTATCAATATTTGGCCTTCTTTATAAATTTCTCCTTAGATTATCTTGATTCCCCATCTTTTTTCTTCTTTCCTTATCAAACCTCCCTTTAGTCCATAATAGAACTATTTCTTATTCTGCTATTTTTGTTAAGTATTTATTAATTGTAATGTAATAATTGTAATTGTAGTAATGATTTCTCTTTTCATTCTTTTCTTTTGTTTTATTGCCAAAATAAAGCTCTACACAAATTTATCCGATAATTTATCTATAATGTTCCATTTGTATCACTGCAATGCCAATAATGTAAACGATATATTTCTTTCAATTACAGGGAACGTAACAGCTCGACCAACAATTGTATCACAACTGATTATTCTTCTTTCCACGAGCAATGATGACACTAATGTATTAAATATAATACAAAATAAAGAAAATATTGAAAATAATTCAATGACATTGGAGCATTCATTTTGTTGTGGTAAGTTTTATTTCATTTTGTACTATTATATGTAATTATTATACAGGGTGTATCAGAGCGACCGTAACAGCAGTTTTTTGAGGAACCTAAGCATTTGAGAGAAAAATGTTTCGTACAAAAGTTGTAGGGCTTAAAATAATCTATTTAACGATCGTATCAGTTTGACTTTGAATAGCACCGTCAAGGTCACATAAAAAATACTTTGAATTTTTTAAATGGAAACCCCCATTTTTTATTGCATATTCTTGTAGCTTACCTCGAGAGCTTTTCAAAACACTATAATAAAATATTTTTCTCCTAAGTACTTTTCGAGTTATGAGACTTGAAATCACTTCTTAATTTTACATAAACCATAAAATATCTTGTAAAATATTAATTTTTCGATTATTTTACTTTAATATTTTTATGTACAAAATAATGAGAGGAATCAATTGGTGTAAAGAAAACATAATTGATTCGAAAAAAAAATGTAATTCGCAATTAATTAAATTTTTTTTCGAAACAATTATGTGTTTTCTCTACACCAATTGATTCCTCTCATTATTTTGTACATAAAAATATTAAAGTAAAATAATCGAAAAATTAATATTTTACAAGATATTTTACGGTTTATGTAAAATTAAGAAGTGATTTCAAGTCTCATAACTCGAAAAGTACTTAAGAGAAAAATATTTTATTATAGTGTTTTGAAAAGCTCTCGAGGTAAGCTACAAGAATATGCAATGAAAAATGGGGGTTTCCATTTAAAAAATTCAAAGTATTTTTTATGCGACCTTGACGGTGCTATTCAAAGTCAAACTGATACGATCGTTAAATAGATTATTTTAAGCCCTACAACTTTTGTACGAAACATTTTTCTCTCAAATGCTTAGGTTCCTCAAAAAACTGCTGTTACGGTCGCTCTGATACACCCTGTATATTCAGTAATTGAATAATGAATGTCATTCAATAATTGAATGTAGTAATTTTACACACTTAGTAAAATAGAAAAGGCAATTGGTTATAGCTGGATCTCGGCGCTAATATCTTATTATGCAATTTTATATACATCTTCAAGATCAAACTGCACATCGAATAAATTTGAGATCCTCGAAAAGCTATAACTAGAATGAGAACAATATCGCGATATTATCACGATTTTAACTGGAGGTATTATTTTTTGAAACAAAATTCTTCACTTGCAATATTTTAAATAAGAGGGGTTTTATTAGATAGTTGTTATCATTATTATCTAATCATCAATTTAATCTCTTGGTACTATTCTTCTTGTTTTCAACCTATAACTGTATCAAGACCAAATATTTGTTCGGCGCGCAGTTTGATATATGTAACGATATATGTAAAATCACAATATAATATATTAAATAACATAAATTTCAGTTGCATTTTTGCAGGTTAATTTTTAGTTATTTACTTTTAAATATTTCTTTTGTTGTATAGAAAAATGCCGCAAAAATTACTTGGTCAAATTTGTGACAATTGGAAACTCAATCGGATCATTCATTTTCTAGAAAATGAAAATAATGTAACGAATAACGTAATGAAATAGAACAAGACGATGTGTCGTTGTTACCAAATTTTCCTCTCACTACAGTTGAACAAACAGAAATGTTCAATAACAGATTGGAAGATATTAATGTTCGGCGACAATTTGTAAGTATCTTGTCACATTAATTAATTGTAATTATACAAATTAAAGCCTATGATAACAGTAAGCTAATGTTAATATTTAGAAAAAAAAAATAAATTGAAGAAATTGTGCAATAAAATAATAAATGTATTATATAATATATAAAAATATATAAAAATATTGTTTTTATTTATTACAGATGAAAAAAATGGCGCAGTTTGGCGGGGATACCGTAGCCAAACTTGTAAAAAATATAATGTTGGAAACTATCGGATATGAAGTTGCGGCAGCGTACACGTGGACAGGCCAAAAAAAAGATTATCATTCAAAACAACGAAACTGGCTGACACAATAATTGGTATATAATTTTAACATTTTTCTTCATTCTTTGTAGTTGCACTGAACTGTATTTAAACAAACTTTTTTTTAACATTAAATACAATTCAGATGAGAATTTTTCTAGAACTACTTCATGTCATGTTAACATGTATTTTAACATGATCCAATTATTATATTTGTAGCAATTATTTTGAAGAAAAAGGATACTACTACAATTACTGAAGTGGAAAGATGTATTCAAGAGTGGTTGAGACGATCCGGCAACAGAAAGCGAGGCTTAAACAAGTAAATATATTGTATGTACCTGATATGTTAAATTTGTCATTTTCTTTGGAAACTATTAATTTTATATAATATTAATATACAGGGTCTACCAAAAGTGTGGAAACCCCTAAATATCTCGGAAAATATACGTTTTACAGAAAAGTGTTTCCAACAAAAGTTGTAGGGTTTAAGAAGATCTATATACTGATTCTATCAGTTTGACCTTGGATGGCGTCATCAAGGTCAGGTCAAGGTCACATTGACTTTTTTAAATGACACCCCCTACATTTGATTGCATATTCTTATAGCTTAATTCAAGAGCTTTCCAAAACACTATAATAATGTTCATTTTTATTAAGTACTTTGCGAGTTATGAGGGTTGAATGATAGAGTAGCGCCGGTATTAACATTATCCAAGGTGTACTACATGGAGGTTACTCGCTCGGATTTGCATCTGTTGTGTGTGTGATCCAGCTAACTAAGGCAAGATCGGTCGTGGATCCAGTCAGCAAAAGCAAAGACCCAACCAAATTACAATCGAGCATTTAAAGACCTGGAAAGCAATCGACATAGTAAACAGTAAATAAATTTGTGGATGCTCATTTATCATAATAATTGTTCGAAATGTGTGCGTGTGCGTGCGTGCGGTGCGTGTATACAGAGATCAGGTTAGGTTGCACCAAACGATTGCAAATGTGTTTCAATGTGTTAAAGTAAATGCTGAAAGTGGCTGCCATTTACTTCCTGACAATATGCTAATCTTTGGTAGAATGTAGAAATGACTTTACGATTCGTTTCAAAAGGTATCAAAGCCATTTCATCCCTTATTCGCTGTATCAATTCGTGAATGGTTTTAGGTTTTGTTCTGTAAACCTTACTCTTCAGATATCCCCATAGATAATAATCAAGAGGAGTTAGATCTGGTGACCGAGGTGGCCAATCCTCTCCTCCCTCATTTCCGTTCCTTCTTCCTATCCACCGTAGCGGAAAAGTCTCATTTAAAATACGACGTGGTCCTGCACCAAAATGAGCAGGAGCTCCATCATGCTGAAACCATATTTCTTGGAAATTATTTGGAAAAGTATTCTGTATGGCTGGAATTATTTGATCAACAAGTAATCTCTCATACCTTTGAGCGTTCAAATATTCTTCAAAAAAAAACGGCCCTATTAAATAGCCATCTATTATTCCGCACCATACATTTATTTTTTGTGGATGTTGTGTGTGAGTTTCCCGCACCCAATTCGGATTCTCATCTGACCAGAAACGAAAATTTTGATTATTAACTTCTCCCGTTAAGGTAAAAGTTGCCTCGTCTGTGAAAACAATTTGATAAGGGAAGATGGGCCGGACATCTATTAGTGCCATCATTCTTTCACAGAAATGTATACGACGCTCCTCATCTCCGTTTTGCAATTCTTGAACGTATTGCAATTTATATGGATGGAACTTGTTCTTCTTTAAAATTCTCCAAACCGACATGGGAGCAATATCGTGAGTTTGAGCGACTCTCTGAACACTAGAATTGGGATCTTCAATAAATGTCTGCAGAACATCAAGTTGTTTTTCTTCGTTGGTTGCAGACAATGGTCTTCCTGACTTAGAGCGATTTCTTACGCTACCAGTTTGTCTAAAACGTTCTATTGTTTTTAACACAGTGGACTTATTAATTCGACGGTTCGGATACGTGTCATTAAATAATCGAACGACATCAGAGAACGATCTTTCGTTATCACCCCATCCACGCATCATGAGGATAGTGATTCTTTCACGTTCCTACAAGTCGCCAGCCATTTTTAAAACGTTTAATTTTAATTAATCGTACGTTGTATTTGGACGATAACAATTAATTTCTGCTTGCTCAAAGCTGAAGTTAGAAGGTGCTCGTTCTTTGATAGCTTTATACATTCTTAGTTGAATTTTAAATGCGAGTTAGACTGCATGTAGTGCGTCACATAGCGGTAAATGAAGGAACTAACGAGACGTTTCATATACGTTTTATGGAGTAATTTTTTGGCAATTTGACTTCAGCGAAATATGAGGATATGTTGAGGAATCGATCTTGCCTTAGTTAGCTGGATCACACACACAACAGATGCAAATCCGAGCGAGTAACCTCCATGTAGTACACCTTGGATAATGTTAATACCGGCGCTACTCTATCATTCAACCCTCATAACTCGCAAAGTACTTAATAAAAATGAACATTATTATAGTGTTTTGGAAAGCTCTTGAATTAAGCTATAAGAATATGCAATCAAATGTAGGGGGTGTCATTTAAAAAAGTCAATGTGACCTTGACCTGACCTTGACGACGCCATCCAAGGTCAAACTGATAGAATCAGTATATAGATCTTCTTAAACCCTACAACTTTTGTTGGAAACACTTTTCTGTAAAACGTATATTTTCCGAGATATTTAGGGGTTTCCACACTTTTGGTAGACCCTGTATAACATAAAACATTGATATTTTGTACTGAATAAAACTTAATCTTCGATCCATGGGTGCTGGGACTGTCTTCTTTCGAGAACAGAGTCCGCGTTGATTGACGCTCTTGATCAAGCTTCAATCAATGGGTGCTGGGACTGTTCTCGAAAGAGGATAGAGTCCGCATTGATCGACGACCAAGGTTAATCTTCGATCAATGGGTGCTGGGACTGTCTTCTTTCGAGAACAGAGTCCGCGTTGATTGACGCTCTTGATCGAGCTTCAATCAATGGGTGCTGGGACTGTTCTCGAAAGAGGATAGAGTCCGCATTGATCGACGACCAAGGTTAATCTTCGATCAATGGGTGCTGGAACTGTCTTCTTTCGAGAACAGAGTCCGCGTTGATTGACGCTCTTGATCGAGCTTCAATCAATGGGTGCTGGGGCTGTTCTCGAGAGAGGATAGAGTCCGCATTGGTCAACGACCAAAGTTAATCTTCGAAACTGGACTTGGAAACAATAAAAGTAAGGTAGAGTCCAAGGTAGAATAAAAATTCTCGCAATTCTGTTGTTTTCCAACGTCTCAATTCATCCAGAGAACGTGATTTTCAGATCAAACTCCTTCGGTACCTACTTTGTACATTGCAATTAATTTTTCCAAGTCTATTATAAGTTTGCTTTCACTTTGATGTTTGATAACTACTTATCCATAACTGCAATACTTTTTTCATCCTAGACATGACATATCAAGTACATATAATTTAAAGAGAACTGTGTAACATTAACAGTTGTATTAACTCGAAAGGAGATATAACCAGTATGACGATTTTGTGATTGTAATAAGTACCTAATTCTTGTATACTTTCCACATCCAAAAAATCTGTTATGTGCAATTTATTTAAATATAATTATATATGCTTGTTATAATTCTAACAAGCATATATAACTATTATTTTCTAAAAAAAATAATTTAAAAACAATATATATTCTATTTATATATATCCTACAAAGCAGGAATATTCTCTAATATTTTATTCTTCGGTCTTTAAAATTCTATTTTTTCTCTTTCAACATTGCTCAGAAACATATATTTATACATAATTAGATTTCTTTGACGTACATCCAAGTAACTCTGTTATAAGTGGAAGTATTTATGCGAGATAATGAGACTAATAATATTATTTATTGTTAGAGAAAACGCTACGTAGATATGTTCTAGAGACAAAGTAATCCATACGATGGATAAACTGTTTTGAATGCAAATAGTAATATGTTATTAGAAATATTAGTTATACTGTAAAATATTATTATTAAAAATCATTAAATAGAGAAGTACTTTGTGTAATAAAAACAGTCGTTTAAATACAAGTGCTATTATATTTATAATTATCTTTATGTAGTAATGATTAAATATTGTTATTTAAAACTGAATATATAATCTTCATGTATTTCAAAAATTCTTACTGCATTATTTGCTTGCAAAGCGTTATTATGTTTTATCATATGTAATTATTATATTTAATAAAAATTTCTGTCATGCAAAACTGCCAATAATATGGAAGGCAAAAATATATAAAAAGATTATATATATAATCTTTTCATATATATATATATATATATATATATATATATATATATATATATAGTAAAACAAAATTTTTTGTTAAATAACTTCTGTCTTTAGAACATATCTTCTAGGTCTATGTACAATTGGCGTTCATGCCTTATAAAATATTTTTCAAAATGTTTAAAACTGTGTTAAAAAGCATGTTTAAAATAAGAAAACATGTTTTAAACATATATGTATTACTTTTCATAATTAAAGTATATAATTTAGATGTATGTACGTATATGTACCTGATGTTACGTTGAATTTTATTTCGAAACTATGTATTTTATGTAATATATATTAAGATGTAACATAAAATAATTTATATTTTTTCTAAATAACATTAAATACTATAAACAAATAACTTTTGTTCTCTCTTTCACTATTTTATTATATCCACTTACATTTGTACATTTACTACCAAATTTTTATTTTCATAATGACATTTGTCAAAAATTTAATTTTATTACTTTCAATGTATAATGTATATTATATATTTAAAATATAAAATTAAGTTTTTAATAAATGTTATTATGAGAATAAAAATTTGGTAGTAAATGTATAGATGATTTCAAATTGATTACAAGTCGACTTATTGCCGACTAAAAGTCGACCTAGTCGCCATAATCTCAAAAACAATGTCGGCTTATAGTCGCCATAAAGTCGACTTCTAGTCACCATGAAGTCGACTTAAAGTCGACTGTATATACTGACTTTTAGTCGACTATTTTCGGGTCATTTGTCGACTAAAAGTCGACAATAAGTTGACATTTAGTCTGACTTTGAAGTCGACTTTAGACTCCTTTTGTCGACTGACAGCCGACTAATAGTCGACTCGGTGCTGTTTGGGTAACTTTACGCTGATTTTTGTTTCTTTATTTTACAAAAAAATATAAACCAACAAACGCTGTTAGTAGTTGTATTAGGGCAACAATCACCAACAAACGATTCGCTATAAAAAAAATTGAAAAAATCGAAGTTGGCCCGCTAAGTTCCTGGAGTTCCGCGGAATGTACAAACCTTTAAGCCCATGTCACACTACGTATTGCGGACGCGGATTGGATTAGCATTGCGGATCGCGGATCTGAATTCAATCAATCAAGATGAGGCTGCCTCATCTTGATTGGTTGAATTCAGATCCGCGATCCGCAATGCTAATCCAATCCGCGTCCGCAATACGTAGTGTGACACGGGCTTTAGACCATTGGCCGCATTCAGCGAACTTAACAGTTGGGCAACATTACCAGATTTTTCGACTATCGATGCTGGTAGCGAAGGCGAACGTCGTAGGACGAATTGTGCCAAGTGCTGGTATTTATTATCGTTATTACGCTTCTCGTGAAAGTTGTCAAACATATTAATCAAACATTATCATTTCATCGTAATACATCATCAAGTGCTACGGAGAACAATTTCAGTCGTGCTTTAACATAATTCACGTAAGAGATTATTGTCTAATTTCTTTTTTCAAGAAAGAAGGTATTATATACATATATATAAATGGCTCTTGTGACTTGTGACGCTATCGTTTTATTTATTCATTTACTCGCAATGAGAAAAGGTCCATGAGGACGTTTGATGAAGAGGGTCAGGATTCTGATCCTGGAATTCGTTGACTACGAGTTTGACATACACGTAGCCATATGCATATGTAATTCTAGAAACTATCGTTTGCATATGCAATGATTTCCGCAATTTTCTTTTAATTATCGTCCAACCTTTTCCGGAATTTTTACGAGTGTGTGTGTGTGATTGTCGATTATGTATTATCGTTTCTTCGAGTTAACATTATTGTTGTAAGATTTTTAAAGATAGAAGTTCACATAGAAAAAAGGCTGTTCTTAATTATACGAAACGAAATTGCGAATTTCATCGAAGAACGCGAACATGATTAGTAATTATTGAAACATAACCTGTCGATATAACTTATTTCATCAGTATATTAATATCATATGAATTCTTGTACAATATGTACGCGAAAGAAGAAAAAAGGAGATATATTTAATAATTATATATATATATATATATATTTTTTTTTTCATATAACTAAATTATGACATTTTAAAATTTAATAATGTGCTAATTTCTTTAATTTTCTTATAAATGCTTATTTTGTATTTTCAAAATTTATAGGTAATTCATAGATTCTTTCATCATGATGAACATTAATACAAGAGTATTCTTTGACATTGAAGTTGGTGGACTGCCTATGGGTAGAATAGTATTTGAACTTTTTTCGGATATTTGTCCTATAACATGTGAAAACTTTCGTGCTTTATGTACTGGAGAAAAGGGACTTGGAAAAACAACAGGCAAATCTTTGCATTATAAAGGCATCGTTTTTCATAGAGTTGTAAGAGATTTTATGATACAAGGTGGAGATTTTTCAATAGGTAATGGAACAGGTGGTGAATCAATTTATGGTGGTACATTTGCAGGTAATATATGAGATTTTTATTATAAGCACTTAATACAAACTATAAATTTGATAAAAATCAAATCTTATAGTTGTTTCTTCACTTAAGAATCATTTTTTTTGCAGATGAAAACTTTATCATGAAGCATAATAAGCCATTTTTGTTATCAATGGCAAATTGTGGTAGAGATACCAATGGCTCGCAATTCTTCATGTAAGTATCTGAAAATAATATTATTTAGAGATATTTCTTATATTGCGTTGTTATTTAAATTTATAAATCTATAAATTTGTAATATATTATGATATATTTATAATATATTATAAATATTATGAAATATAACTATTATATCTGTTTTATATGTGTATAGCAAAATATTACAGGCACATTAACAAGATAATACAACATGGTTATTATGTGTTTTCTTTCTTACAATTAAAGAAAATTCTCTTTCTCTCAGAGAGAAATTTTCTAAAATTACTTTTTCTCCATTAAAAAATAATTAAGTGTTTTATGTGAATCAGGGGTAAAGTTAATGTAATATTTATAAAGTCAATATTTATTCACATTTGCCAGAGAACTCTCTCATGATTAGTTATAGCCAATAAAATTTCTTAATAAAATACACGGAATTAATATATGAAATTATTGTGTTGGACAATAGTGATAACGATAGTGATAACAGTATTATTTTCTAAATTCATGATAAGTTTAAATGTATGATAAAAACCAGCAAATTTCAATTCGAGATGAATATACAATTTCGTTCCCATGATGGTTTATGCAGCAAATTCGCAGAGGATATTGAAAAACTTAGGAATAAAAATAATTCTGGAGGAATGAATAACTTAGCGATGTTTTTGTGTAGTCATGAGGGAAGGGTCTGCACATCACTACTACAACACAATGACCAATGAAAGCTGGCTCTTTCTGTTCATCTCTCATCCCCTTAATCATATTTTGTTGTTGTAGTACAACACAACCAGCGCCTCACCTCGACAAGTAAGTATCAATCCATGTTTAATATACATATATTTCAAAATAGCACATTATGTGTACATTTCATTTAAAAAACCTGTTTATCTATATGCAAGTATTTCATTATTTCAGTGTCCATGTGGTTTTTGGAGAAGTAGTGTCTGGGCAAGAAATCATTACACACATTGAAGGACTTCCAGTAGACCGCATGTCTCGTCCATTACAAGATGCTAAGGTTGTAAATTGTGGGGAATTGGTTTTGAAGATCAAGAGTAAAGGTATAATTGCTATCTATCTATAAAAGTGCTCGGAATTAGTTTTAAAATTTAAAATTTATTATTATAACATATATGTATGTATAACAGATTATACATATATAATATATTATATTATAATAATAAAAATTTTGATATTTAATTATTTATAAAAAGGAAAATTATTTACCAAAAAAAATTTTAATAATGATTTGGCGAAACGGCTTAGCGAACGCTCCTGAGGCATAGCGTCACGCACGCGATCGGTGTCGAGCCTCGGACAGTGTGGGGGGATCGTAGACGTTGTCTCAAATATCGGCTTGAAAAGGACAACTAATTCCGAGCACTATCTATAATATGGATATAAAAGATAATACAGATAATATAAGATTTAAATAATTTTCTAATAAATATATGTTATTATACATTATTTCAGCAAAAAAACGAGAAACGAAGCAAAGTAGTTCAGCAGATTCCGAGTCTGATTCGTATGCTGATAAAGCAAAGAAAAAAAAGAAGAGCAAAAAAAGGTAGATAAGAGAGGAAATATATGTTTTGAATCAATCAATCAATATCAATAATTATTTTATTTTGAATACAATTATTAATACATTAAAAAGATATGAATTTTTAAATTATTAAAATATAATATTAATAATTACAATATATCGCGTTTCAGTAAAAAGAAAGCGAAATCAGAAGACGGTGAAATTCGGGATTCGAATGAAGAAGATCACGGACAACCCCATCCGTTAGCATCTGTTACTAAAATTGATCCTGACGAAATTCCAGAAGTACCGGCAAATAAATTTTTATATAGAGCGGGATCTACCAATAATGCAAATCAGAAGGAATTTAGACAACATTATGGAAGAGATCGAGTACGATCGCATAGAAAGACTGGTCGTGTTTTTAAGGGTAGAGGAATATTCGTAAGTGATTATAAATGTTATATAAGTTAGTATTTATTATATAACTAGTTATAAAATGCATTAATTGTGTATTTGAACGAATGAAAATACCGAATTTCATTCGTTATTTTTCTTATTCACTGATTTATTAATTTCAATCGAAAATGCATGTGTTTTAAATAAATTTTCAGCGATATCATACTCCTTCTCGAAGTCGTTCCAGAAGTATAACTCCACCTCATTGGAAACAAGCTCAAAATCGTACTATCAAATTGCACGAATTTCAAGTATATACTAGTATACATATATTAAAATATATACAAATGGTATTATTCCCTTCTTATTCATTATGACTTTATATTACAGAAAATAGAAAAGGAACGGATCAAGAAAGAAGAAGAGTTTGATAAACTACGTGAAACTGACAGACTTAAAAAATTCGCAGATAATTCTGATGAAAATCAAGTGCCAGATCTGGATAACAATATATGCACAACAGAATTGATGGAAAATAAAGAAAACGATCAGACAGATGAAACAGTAACTATGAATAAAATAGCCTATCAGCAAGATAATGCAAAGAGAAACACAGAAGACAATGACATTATGCAAAACAAAGAGGAGATTAAACAAAATAAGAATGAAAAATTATTAAAACGTGATAACAATCGATCTTACAATGACAGGAGTTCCCGACGTAATTCGAGAGATAGAAGCAGAAGGCGTGGACGTTCTCGGTCAAGAGATCGTCGAAGGTCTAGAGAGAAGAACTATGATCGTAGAGCAAGTCGTGATAGAAGGAATCGGAGAAATTATTCTCCCCGTAGACGAGATTTTTACAGAGTTAATAGAAGAGATAATTACAGACACTACGATAGACGTAACGATAGACGTCCAAATAACTTTAATTCCTATCAAGACAACGATAATACTTCGCGTTATGATAAAAATAAATATAAAAGAAATGATAACGTAATGGATACGAATCAACCGAAATTTAAACGTCGTTCACGATCAAGCAGTTCAAGTAGCCAGCATTCCAAGACATAACTTATATGTTATGTCATTTCTTTTCTTTTACTTATTCTATCAAATATGAAAAACAATAATATCAATTATATTGTCAAAGAGAAATCACGAATATTATTAGTTTGTGGGTCAAGTGCTATATAAATAATAATAGTTGCTTTCCATGTTGTTCTCAAGTAATACTGAATCATTCAGTTATATATTTTATATCAGATTAGCGACGTCATTATTCAGTGAATAAAAGGAAATAAACAAATACAGGCAAATACAGGCGATGAGATTCATAATCTTATTTTTAATGTTAGTCTATTAGACTTGTACGACCTCAAGTTTGTTTAAGTTATAAGTAAAAACTTAGTTGAATCTCACTTGCCAACATCAAAAGGTGCATTCAACTGTTGTGACATCTGAGTTATGACATCATAAGTGAGAATTATCTGAGTTTTTATGTATGTAAAATGTAAATGGAAAGCAACTAATATCGCAGCTATATAACTTATTTCTCTTTTGATCACTTATTACGCACGTGTTTCACTGTGGAGTGTACAATAAAATCTACCATACGTTTGTATATTCTCTTACAAGAGAATATCTATATTTCAAATTTTCTTTACCTCTTTCCTATATTAAAACTGTTTATATTGAATATATGTATTGTATTGCTTGTAAAAAACGATATTTTCAAAATATTTCCATATGAAAACTTTCTTAGAACTTTCTGAATCTCTTTCAAAGTTCAAAAATCATTGTCCTACTTTAATAACTTTCTCTCTCTCCCCCTTCCTGGTTTGAAAATTGAATCTTAATGTAAATTAGTTAAATGATTTTAAAAATACACACACACACACACACACATATATATATATATATATATATATATATATATATATATATTTACATTTACATACATATATCATGTAAAATTGTAATAAATAAATAACTTATCCATATTTATGCGATTCTTATGGCAGTTATAATTGGAGAGACATCAGCACAAAAAATCTAAGAAATAATTTATGTATGTTTGGCTTTTATTTTACAAAATATATTTATAAATCGATAATATGTGCTTTCTACACAAATTCATAAGCAGTACTAAAGTTTAACAAATATCAATAATCAATCTGTATTAGAGGAAGTACTCGGGGATGCATTCTGTTCGATGCTAAAAAAGTTTTGAAATATTTTGTCAACTAATCAAAGCAAAAAAAATCTTGGCTTTTTTTTATCTTGATTAGTCAATCAAAGAAATCAAAACTTTTGTAACGGCAAATTAGAAGTCATCTCCATATAGCAGAATATGTAATAATTCAAGCAGCAATCAAATCTCTTGAATTATACACAATATCAGCTTCGAGTGTTAATTAAAAGCAAATTTTGTATAAAATATTACACATAAATATTATTGGAATTGATATTAAGCAATTTATGTAAAATCACAGTGTATACTACGACTGTTTGTATAATTCATGGATTTCCATGGATCCATGGATTTTGACCATGTGGTGGTTGAGTACCATCATAACGTGGCATTGTCGCATAGCCTCCATATGGAACTTGAGGCATCGTACTTTGGAACGAATTATATCCTCCTAAGAAAAAGCAAAACTTCTCGTTACACGTATTTTAAATATACTTACTGCAAATAATGGAACCAAAGTGTATACCTTGTGTAGGGTATGGCATTGTAGCATATGGATTGTAGGTTGTCGGCATTGGTGGAGGAACATATGCTGGATAAGGTGTTGCTGGTGAAGCACCATAAGGTATAGGCATACCACCTTGATTTTGCATAGGATATGGCAACTGCGGTGGTGCTGTACCGACTTCCGGTTGATTTCCACTTGGCCCTTTTGGAGAAGAGAGACAATATATTTTTTTTAATTTTAGAAAATATATAAAACTGATAAATTGTATCAGATTCGTACCACTACTATGATGAGATGGAATATTTGGCGTTGTAGCAGGACCGGTATGGCTCAAGTTCGTTGTTAAATCTTTTAATAGTTCCTCTTTTTCAGTTTTTCGGGCGAAACAGAAGTCAGATATCTTATTTTGGAAGACTACCAATAGCTATACAAATAGAGAAAAATAAATTGAGACAATGACAAAATAATGAAAGTAAGTAACAAATTGTCATGACATAAATGTATACCTGTGTCAAATCGTTATAAAATTTAGTCCCTTCTGTTAAGTTATTTTTTAGCTCTTTAAATGCATCATAAGCGGAAGCTAGTTTACAGAGCATCATTTCTCGCGCGCTACCAGTACCAGCTTGTTCATTTGTAAATTGTGCATGGCATGTCTAAGAACAAATTTATTTATTTTTATATATATACAGGGTGTCCCAAAACTACCGCTTCATATTTTAAAGGTAAATTCTCTGGCCAATTTACAAAAATGATTTTTCCTCAGCGAAAATGTCGAGGGAGATTATTTTTTGCATATTCCCAATTTTTGCCATCATGTATTTTTCTAACTAAGCCTTAAATTAAAATTCTATTAAAGTAAGCTCTACCTAAAATTAATTAAAGGATGTAACTTTATTAATATTTTATTCCCATAAGGCTCAGTTTGCGAAAAACTCTTTATTTTCAATCGTTTATAACTCGAAAACTATTGATGCCTCGACATTTTCGTTAAGGAAAAATCGTTTTTAAATTGGCCAGAGAATCTGTCCTTAAAATATGAAGCGGTAGTTTCGGGACACTCTGTATATATATATATATATATATATATATATATATATACAGGGTGTCCCAAAAGTCCCGGACCGGTCGAATATTAAACTATGCACTTTAGAAAGAAATGTTTCAGACAAAAGTTGTATGACTTGAAGAGGACCATCAGATAGTGGCAATGATTTGACCTTGGAGAGTCATTTGAAGGTGACGTAAAAGTCACCTTCAATTTCTTAAATGGAACTCCCTATTTTTTATTACATATTCGTATAGCTTATCTCGAGAGCTTTCCAAAACACTATAATAAAGTATTTCTTCATTGAGTACTTTTCGAGTTATAAGGCTTGAAATCATTTCTTAATTTTACATAAACCGTAAAATATCTTGTGAAATATTCATTTTTCGATTATCTTACCTTAATAATTTTATGTACAAAATTTTATGTACAAAAAATATGTAATTTACAATTAACAATTACATTTTTTTTTTTTAAACAACTATGTGTTTTCTTTACACCAATTGATTCCTCTCATTATTTTGTACATAAAAGTATTAAGGTAAGATAATCGAAAAATGAATATTTTACTAGATATTTTATGGTTTATGCAAAATTAAGAAATGATTTCAAGCCTCATAACTCGAAAAGTACTCAATGAAGAATACTTTATTATAGTGTTTTGGAAAGCTCTCGAGATAAGCTATACGAATATGTAATAAAAAATAGGGAGTTCCATTTAAGAAATTGAAGGTGACTTTTACGTCACCTTCAAATGACTCTCCAAGGTCAAATCATTGCCACTATCTGATGGCCCCCTTCAAGCCATACAACTTTTGTCTGAAACATTTCTTTCTAAAGTGCATAGTTTATGAAATATTCAACCGGTCCGGGACTTTTGGGACACCCTGTACGTATATATATATATATATAATATATATATATATATATATATATATATATATATACAGGGTGTATCAGAGCGACCGTATCAGGCTGGTATTTCGAAAAATACGCATTTACTTGAAAAATGTTCCGAACAAAAGTTATAGGACTTTAAGGGGCGCATTACATAGCATGGTTAGTGTGACCTTGGATAGTGTTGTTAAGGACACGGAAAAATCAATTAAAAGTTTTTAAATGGAAACCCCTATTTTTGATTGTATATTCTTATAGCTGACCTCGAGAGCTTTCCAAAACACTATAATAAAGTATTTTTTCATTGAGTACTTTTCGAGTTATGATTCTTGCAATAATTTTTTAATTTTATATAAATCGTAAAATATCTTGTAAAATATTCATTTCTCGATTATCTTACCGTAATACTTTTATGTACAAAATAATGAGAGGAATCAATTGATGTAAAGAAAACACATAATTGTTTCGAAGAAAAAATATGTAATTTGCAATTAACAATTACATATTGTTTCTTAAAAACAACTATGTGTTTTCTTTACACCAATTGATTCCAATTCTCATTATTTTGTACATAAAAGTATTAAGGTAAGATAATCGAAAAATGAATATTTTACAAGATATTTTACGATTTATGTAAAATTAAAAAATTATTGCAAGCCTCATAACTCGAAAAGTACTCAATGAAAAA